TTTCATAAAATACAAGGCTATGGCAGTACTTGAATAATTTTATGGGAAGTTGCTGCCTAAGGCATATGTTTTACTGTCTAATACTGAATGCATGAGGAAAAACCATCTGGTTTTTTCAGCCCGAACAATTATATGATCCAGATTGAATCACTAGAGGCCAAATATAATTGCTCTGTGTTTTGCTTTTTACTACTCTCTACCTACAGCAGCATGGTCTTGTACAGCATGTATCGTAGCACACAGTTCAAATGATGGCATGGGAAAATACTTTTTCTTCTATTGAGGGTTATCAAATTACTATCCAGGGCTTAATGCAATCATCTACACTTCACCAGTCACTGGGGAAATAATTCACAGTAGGAAAGAACAATTTCTGATAAACTTTGACCACTGTGATATTTGAACCTTAGGGATTTCTTTTTGCTGGGCAGATCCTCATTTAACATTCAGCCAGGTGAAAATTGTTGGTGCAGCCTTCATGCCTTCAGCTCCAGCTGGGAAAAAAGAGAGGTGCTTTCCTTTGCATGGCCCGAGTAAACAGATTGCACTAAAAACATAGCAAGTGAATCCTCACTATTAGTTTACTTTGAAGGAAAAGCACTTCAGTGATATATAAACTATGGAAAAGATTCCACTTTTGTTTCTAGTGTTGTGTTTCACAGCACCTAAATGTATGCTTTTCATTTTGCCGGGATAGTAGGACTGGGTTTCTCCCCTCCATAAAGTGCTTGCAGTTTAATTTTAGACATAATGTGCTGAGTGGCACTAAAAGAGGTGTTCAGTGTTGGAGGGAGGAATGAGGGACTGAGGGGCAATATTTGAATATGTGGGTGGATAAATGCAAACATTTTTCTTTTGTTCTTTAATAATAATAGTAGTAGTAATGATGATGCTCTATGCCTTTTCTGGAAAAGCTGAGAGTTTCTGGAAAAGTTGAGAGCTTCTGGAAAAACTGAGAGCACAATTTACAGAATTTTGGAAAATTTCTTTCCAAGACTATTTTTGTGTATTGCTGTGAGGATTGTTTCTGCTTTTCATGGATAAACTGCAGAACTATGTCAACCAGGTGCTAATCCACACTGCACCTGGCTTTCCTGAATATTTGCTTTTATTTTGATTAATACACTGCTTAACTGTACTCATTCCCTCTCCTGACTCATTTTTCCCATCTATTGTGAATAAACACCTTGCCCACAGTGATATTCTAAATCATAGTCCTGACAGACTATGGAAAGCAAGCGGTGGGTAAATGGACGATGGTTTTGTGTAGGATTGGGCTGTGACTTAAAAGGATCAGGTTCATTCCACATGTAAAGACTTTCTGGGTAGCCTTAGGCAAGTCCCTTACCTTTACTGTGCCATGGTCTCCAACTGTGATACGGGAACAAGAAACTTTATTTTTTCCTGCTGTGTCTGTTTTCCATAATTGTGCTATAAGAAATATCTTAAAAAAAAAAAAAAAGAAAAACTGGTATTGTGTGTTTGGATAAGACCCAGTACAACTGGGCTTCCAATTTAGTTGGTATTACAGGAACAAAATCAAACAAGAAATTTTTAATACCTAAACACAAAGGAAGTAAGCAAATGTCATTTTAATTGATTCAGGTCTAAAGAAATTCAGCAAAAGGAAATTACATTCTTTTACTGTAAATTCTTAGTCACTTAATTTTATTTTGCCCTCCATGCAAGCCTTAATGAGAAGAAACCACATTTATGCCTATGTCAGTAGGATGTAATTATAGGGGGATTGCATCTGAAGGCTGTAGCAGCTGAAACTACCAGTAATGTTCTATGAGATTTTTCCATTTTTATAAAGTGAAGTGATGGGGAGAAAAATTGCTCACAAGGTGGATTTTTGTCACTTATCATAGAATTAGAGAATCATAGAAAAATAGAATCACAGAATGGTTTGGAGTTGGAAGGGATGTTAAGATCATGCAGTTCCAACCCCCCTGCCATGGGCAGAGAACCTTCCACTAGACCACGTTGCTCAGAGCATCATCCAACTTGACCTTGAACATCTCCAGGAATATTATTCTTCCTAATATCTAACTTAAATCTTACATCCTTCAGCTTGAGGACTTGCCCCTTGTCCTATTACTACCTGCCCTTGTGAGAAGTCCCTCTCCAGCTTTCCTGCAGACCCCATTTAATATTATTCTTCCTAATATTATCTAACTTAAATCTTACATCCTTCAGCTTGAGGACTTGCCCCTTGTCCTATTACTACCTGCCCTTGTGAGAAGTCCCTCTCCAGCTTTCCTGCAGACCCCATTTAGGTAATGGAAGGCTGATCTAAGGTAGGCTTCCTGGAGCCTTCACTTCTGCAGGGATTGGAGCAAGGGAACCTTGATTCTCTCAGCCTGTCTTCAGAGGGGAACTGGTCCAGCACTGTGATCAGTTTAGTGGCTCTCCTCTGGCACATGTCCCAACAGGTCAATGTCTTTCTTGTGCTGAGGGCCCCAGGGTGGGATGCAGCACTCCAGGTGCAGTCTCACAGGAGCAGAGAGGGGGAATCACCTTCCTCATCCTCTGGATACTCTTCTTTTGATGCAGCCAGGATGTGGCTGACTTTCTGGGCTGTGAGCATGTATTGCCAAGTCACGCTGAACTTTTTGTCGAGAAACACCCCCAAGTCTTTCTCCCTAGGGCTGCTTTTGATCCACTGTCTGCCCAGCCTGTACTTGTGCCTGGGATTGCATGAGTCTTTATCAAATTGCAGGGCCCCCCTGAGACAAGGAATCATTGGCATCTGACTCCATTGATTCAGAATGCTGAACAATTGCTTTATTAGACTGTATTATATTACATTATACTATACTATATTAAAGAGTACTATATTACAAAGAATACTAAAGAATAATAAAGAAAACTCATTACTGTCTCCCAACAGTCAGGCACAGCTTTGAGTGATTGGTTAATTAATATAAAAAAACATCACTAGAATCTAATTGAGAACTCTCTCCAGGTAAACAATCTTCCTAACACGTTCCACATGTGCAAAAACAACAGGAGCAGCAAGTAGAGATAAGAGTTGTTTTTCTCTTCTTCTCTCTGTGCTTCTCCAGGAAAAAACCCTGAGAGAGAGTTATGTCTCTCTGTTCAGAGAATGTGAATGTCACAAGTCTAGAATGAGTTTTTTATTAAATCTTGAAGCATGTGTTGATCTTCACCTTTCTCTAGTCTAAAAGATAAGACTTGCCAATGGTGTATGCCAAATGTGCACTTTACCCTCCTGGATACTGTTTTATTTACAGTCCTTAATAGAATTTATATGCAAGCTCCTATCATATTTGATTTTCAGAGTAGAACTTCAGCCCAGCATTTAAGTGATATGCTGCAAAATATGCCTCCAAAGTCTTATTGCATTGCAGATTGAGATTTTCTACTAGAAATTCTGAAGACTAGAATTATGTTTTTAGGTAATGTATTGGATATTTTATAGCACTCCTCTATTACCTCACTATGGAAAGTCTGTATGTTCTGTGGGAAAAAGTAATCATAGCTCCTGAAGCTCAAGTATATGCAGATGCAATAATATATTAATGTTATATCCAGTAGTTAGAAGCACAGAAGTATGTAGGTTGAAAAAAGCTTCTGTGAGCCTCCCAGTCCAACCTCCTGCTCAAAGCAGAGCTCACTTCAAAGTCAGACCATGGCATTTTCCAGCCAAGTTCTGCAGTCTTTGGGGGCAGAGGTTTCACAGTGTGGTGCATTGACCCTGGCAGGACACTGGGTGCCCGCCAAAGCCTCCCTATCATTCCCCTTCCCCAGCTGGATGGAGGAGAGAAAGCGTAAGGAAAGTCTCATGGGTCAAGATAAGGGCAGGGAGAGATATGTATCTGCATTAGTTACAATATCTATCCATGTGGGTTAGAACATCAGCTAATGAGTCCCAGCAATTCAGACAAAAGTCAAAGGCCTGCACTTTGTTGGTTGTCTCAATGTGCAGCATGACTGATAAGTGTTTTGAGAAGGAATTTAGCAAAGCATTGGTAGAATCAACTATTACTGGGTGCTGATTAGTCAGTTCATGATACTGTGGGTAAAAGTGAACATTGTTTCTGATCCAGTTCATAGATGGTTTCACTAGCACAGTGGTATTGTTGGTGAAGCAGTACAAGAGGAAAGAATAATCCTTACCACCAACAGTATATGTGTCAGAGCAATACCAGTTCTGCTGGCTCGGATCTGCAAACACATGTGCTGTGACTGCTGAGGGCTGGACATGGGATGTGCGAGAATTTCTGCAGTGATACCATTTGTTTGGATCTTCCTCGCAAAAAGATTTAGCTTTCTTTGCCTGTGTGTTTCATCAGTACCATGAAATATACAGGCTCATGCAAACTCAAAATTGTGCTCATGTTTTCCTGAATGTTTCCTTGGCTTGTGGCTTGTGTAATTGTTTTAAGTTATTCACTGGATTGTATGAGAGTAAGTTTGTTCCCAGAATGGAGCCTGTTCATTGAGGACAGTGATGCCATAGCTCTGCCTCTCACTTCAGGCAGTTTGAACACTGTTGCTCAGAAGGAGGTTGTTTCAGATGGACAGAGAGGTGCAATATGTAACTTAGCTCTTTGGTAAGCTTATGCAGCAGGGATTTGTGGTCAGTTGAGGGAGAAATGATTTTTCAGACCTGGGAAACAACCCCCCCACTGGAGATCTCTCTTTAAAGTCGCTTAAATTATCTGGATTGCATAAAGGTACAGGATTGTGATACAAAAAGTAACATCTGTGGATATTGGGTCATTTTCCCAAGAAGATTCTACTACTGAATTCTAGCAGTGCTCCTTAGACATACAGATTTAATAACAGGTCATTATTCTAATGTCTTTAATGAACTAAATTTAATGCTAGCTGTATTCCCCTCTACTAATGAAGACTGTACAGAGACAGTCTTCTGTTAATGTTCAGTCAATACAGGTGAAGTTCATTCAATATAGGTACTGAATCAGGGTACTGTAAAATATTAACAATTATTAATATTCTTTCTTTTTCAGTTTTCTCCTTGTGTTTGGTTGCTTGATTTTGTCCGTGTTTTCTACTATTCCTGAACACACAAAACTTGCCTCTGGTTGTCTCTTCATTTTGGTAAGTGAAAATTCTAAATACAAGACAGTTTTACAGATACTTTAGTGTACTTTCAAATCATCTCCCTCACCATGGAGGAAGTAATATAATACAATAACTGAGCATTTAGAAAAAAAAGATCAGACTTTTCTTCAGAATGATGAAAAAATGATAAAATAGAGGATTCCACCATCTTTTTATTTAAAACAGGTCAGATGGTAAGACAGTGCTAATAAAGTAAGGTAGTGCATCCCCTTCTTTGCTAGAGAACTGCTGTGGTTTAAAACAGGTAGATTTTCTACCGCAGTTTGGCAGTGACTGAGCATGAAAGACCTTTGATATTGCTGCTGTCATTTATAAAGTCAGTATGTAGTAAGAGGCACTTAAAATAGGAATTAATTTTGGTATCTTAGATACGGATTTGGGTTAGCTATTGGTAGATAGTGACATTTTAGTAGCAGTTGCTGCAGTAGGATGTGGTGGTTTCATTATTTCTTCATAATACATGCTTTTGTATTATGTTTATCTCTCCTTTTTCCCTTCTGAGGTAAATGAAAAGGGCTTTAATCCCTAAAAGTGCTTAACATTTTCCATGGATTGTGCAACACTTTATTCATCTGCTTCTTGATGGGCCATTTAGTTCTGCAAGTGATGGCCTGAGGATAGGCAGTAGTGGATATTAAAACGTCACCATATACCCGGAGTTACCATGGTTATTTCAGTTCCATGCATTCAACAGGCTGTGGCTTGTTAGGTAGTGCCTGAGGTGAAGTGACTGTTGACAAATGCCAACATTTTAATTGTCATCACTGTGTATATCCAAAAGCTCTGGTCTTCAGAGCAGCTCCCTAATTAATTATGGCATGAGCAGGCTGATAATTGTGTTGGGTGCAATGTTTTACAGCACAATGGGCCCCACTGCATCAAAATACCTGAACTAAATGTCCAGAGCAGGCTAGGTGCAGGTATGTGTTGTTTTGCTCCATTGGATGATTTCTTAGCAGGGCTAATTAGGGAGAGCCATGCTAAATGTTGCATTTTTATTCCTAGCCATATTAGTGCTTTTTCTTTCTCTGGAAAAAAGATCAGGTGGCATTAATCCAGCTAAAAATGGTCAGATTTAAACCTACACTCATACCTAAACCCATTATTTGCAAATCTGAGCAACACTTGCTAAATGGAAGTCTGTTTGAACGTTCTGCAGCCAGTTATATTATAGTAGCTGGTAACTAATTGCTAAGATTTTTTGGTATAGAAAACAGGAAAATCTGATTAGTCTGGAAATACTCTATTTGTAATAGAAGAGGCTTTTTTGACAAGTAATCCGTTTTCCTGTATACTTATGCAAATTGGTCACAGAAATACCATTTGTTCTGACATAAAATATGCATTTCCCGTGAGCCACATATTTGTTGACTGTGTTGGTACACTTAGCACTGCTGATTCCTCAGCTGGCTGGCTCTCTGTGCTGTGCCATGGGTCTCCCAGGAGCCACAACGTGCAGGAGCTCTGTGAGTGCCTGGCCTTGCTCCCAGTGCTGGGCAGAGGCGTGGTGAGCTCTGACTGCTGCTACACCAGTCCTTGCAGAGGTGTCCATCAGCTGAGCAGAGCTGCTCAGTGTCTGCTGGGGGAAACTTGGGTGCTTTTTGCTGCTGTGGCTTCAAAGATGAGCTTTGTCCATCCTAACTGTTCTGGCTGTACATCCCATGGCATCCTCTGAATACAGCATAGTTCTTAAGGAGGAAGAGGGTGGATGGCTGATCCTTGAAGCATCAATACTAGCCTCCTCCAGCATTTCTATAATACAGCCTGCTGTGTTCAACAAACCTTTGAGAGGAACAAACCTAGTGACAACAAATTTTGCATCTCCTGCTGTGGGTCTCTAATGGAGAAAAATATAAACACAGCAAAATATGAAGTTCCAGAAGCAGGCTAAAGCTGACTGCTTTACTGCAGTTTGCTGATGCATGCTTCTCTACATACTGAATCAGTAGCTGATATTAACAATGTTATCAAAACAAACTTTTGCAACCACAAACCAAAAGGAAAGCACATTTCTACATTAACTCAGGAGCAGTTGTTTTGGCTGTGCCAACACCTAAATGCAGTCACTAGAGTTTTCACAACCTTTTTTCTTGCAGTGATTCACACAGCTCTTCCAAATTTGTCATTTAGTAAGACAGCTGTGTCACCTATCAGATCTGGTTTAATACTGTTTGTGCATTGTGCTTGAAATAGAATATATATGTTTATTTTCTAATGAAGTACCGTACAAATATAACAATCCATAGAGCTGCCTGCTGGATTTCTGTGAACTGTTTGTTCTGCAGATTTATTCCAGATGGTCTCCCCCACAGCCATGTTAATTGGCTAAAAAGCTAATGTAATGTTCCTCCAACTTAATACCTGAGCTGCTGTGTGCACTGGCACCTGTGGCTTTTGACATATTGCAGCTATTCACAATTAAACAGGGAGATTAAAGAGGGGAGTGTAGATGAGCTGAGCAAACCTTTTCCTCCTTCTCACAAAGGCCAGAGGAGCTGAGAAGATTATTCTTCTCCAATCAGTCAATTCCATTTATCTGCCCGAGCCGTGCCCTACAAGGGAACAGAGAACATATCTCCTAATCACTGCATCCCAAATACTCTCTCAGAAACATGCAATTTGTGATAGCTCAAAGCAAATCATTGTTTAGGAAAGCAATAATAGCTGAGGGCTTCTGAGCTTCAGCAGAGGTTAATGGACTCATCTGGGCTGCAGAAATGCCTGAGCTCTGCTACCAGAGCTGAGGCAAACCTGCCCTGCTGTGTTGTGTTGGACCCAGCTCCAATTCTGGCATCCACACAAGCACTACTGTGTGCCAAGGCTTCTTCTCCTTATCAGGAAACCTGTCAAGGGAAACACCTTTAATATTTGAATTTTATGCTTAACATGAAAGTCATGCAGATAAGTGCATGTTACACACGGTAAATGTTGGCTTGTTGAATCAGTAATTAATTTGGTTAGATTTGTGTCCAGAAATAATAAGAGTAAGTGGGAGGAGATCATCAGATAAAACTCCACAATGAAAATTATGCTTTAGCCTCATCTGTGCACACAACTTCTGGCACTTGAGTTGTAGCAGTAATATATCCCAGACAGGGAGGAGGATAAAAATCTACTTCAGCATCAAAATAAACCACAAACAGCTTAAGAATCCAACTAACACAGCAAGAAAATAATCTTTGGTGTATTGCTGATCTACATTTGCTAGCACTTTATCAAACAATAAACACAAGGGGAATAAAACTGAGGCTGTGAAGGCAAAATCAAATCTTTTGGGGAAGATAGCCAAGAAGGAATATTATCTGGAACTGGAGGTCATTCACTCTCTTGACCAAATTCTATATTTTAAGTTCATTTTCAACTAAAGCTGAAATTTATGTGAATTTCTGGTTCACTTCTGTTTGTTTGCTGTCAGTGCAGGAAAGCTAATAAAATAATTTGAGTTGACCCAGGAAGATTTGACTAATTAAGAAGGAAAAGAAAAGGTCTTGGATCCATTTAATGCTTCATTTGACCTGGCATAAAATATTATTTGTGTATTTGATTATATTAGAAATTTTGGCTTAAAACTCAGATTGAGGTTATAGGGGAAAAAAAATCATTTTTATTTGAAGTGAGAAAGCATCCTTTTTTTTTTTTTTTTGTAATTTTAATTTTTAATCTAGATGGGTAGATCAAAAAACACAAGTGAATTTCTGCAGGACTGTTTTTTTCAAATCTGTTTTGTGGTTTTCTCTGTAATGGCTGGTGCAGAAAGCTGTACCCAGATTTGTAGAATAAAGGCCTCTGAAAATGTACTCTAGGAACACATTTTTCAGGCAGAACTAGCTCCCAAAGATATAAAAGCAGACAGCGTGCACAGGATGAAGCTGGTTTTTCCGTGTACTGCGGACACACACATGAATCCAAAAGGAGAGTCTACCAAGTGCTTCTAGCAATTAATATCTTCCCAGGATATTTTCCTCCTAATATTTTTGCACAAAAGAAGGAGGATGCACACTGATTTAAAAACATAGTGTACAGTGCCCCACAGCAGGTAAGCATGTATTCAGTTTGTCCCTGCTCTAGGAAGTAAGTCCATCCATGGGAATGTAATCATACAAATCTGCTACTGCATTGTAAAACTGGCCAGAGCTGATTTTAAAAAGGGGGATGGATTTAATTTCAATTAAAGAAAAAAAAAGAAACATAGCATATTTCACTTTAGATTGTACCAGCACTTGAATACTCTTGCCATGCTTGGATAAAAAACCACCAGACCTGAAAAATGATGGCTCTATAGAACCAGCTATCAAGGCATAAAAAGAAAAAATTATCTTGAAAGTTTTCAATTATAGATACATTTCTAACAACAGTAAGATACAGACCATATTACTGGAATTTTGTTGGGTCTTCTTCTGAGGAAAACAGATTAATATATCCCTGAGTTAAAAAATCAGTGAGTTTGTCAAAACTCAAAATCAATATTTCTCAAGAAATAATGATTTCTAGTGTTTTATTTTCCAAATCAAAACTTAGCTTTGACATTTCAAAATTCCTTATAGAAATCTCTGAAAAATTACATTAAATACACAACACTCATTTATCAAAGATAGAATAAGAGAGGGAAATATAATGTTCATAAGGTCAAAACCTTCATATTTTAATGCCTGTTTGGATTCATAATGTTCACTAATATAATAACGTGAGCAAAAAACAATTCAACCATGTCATAAGGAACTACCTGTTAGCTTTGAAAATACTCTTACCATACAAAAATGAATATTTTCACATCTTTGCTGTTTAAATTGATGCTCTCATGTATACAGATTTGACCAAGTCAGGGCTGACTATTGTTACAAAAATTTGGACAAGAGTTCATCATAACTGCTTATGAATCTTTGTGTAGAGACAGAAGAGACTTTCCACAGGACATTTAAATGCTGGACCCACTTTGCTGAAATTAAAAGTTATGATGAGGAAGTCTGACAGAAAGC